AGTTTACTCTTGAGCAATGATAATAACACTGAGGGTACTGGGATCCATACCCTGTCATAGGGCCAGCTGCTCTGAGAGATTGGGTTCTCACAGCTGGTCAGAGGGTGGGATTTTGGACTGAGGTAGAAGTCGGCTGTAATGAATAAAGAGAAAGGCCAGGAGAGGAGGATGAAGACTATATTTGGGTCCTAAATTAACTTTCCAGGCTGAATTTCACTGGTGCCCTCTTTTTGAAAACTTGGGACCTCTTAAGTGTTTGCCCTAGATTCAAACAGTCCTATAACATGAGCTCAGTAGGGAATTCAAGTCCCAAGCATGTCTGCTACTTTCTCCTGCTTCTGGCTGATATCTGGTTCTCTCAAGCTGTTATAATACTCAGGTTAAAACAGCACAAGAGAACAAATACTCTCCTTCTGTTGGATTGAAAAACTACCTGCCTGATTGTCCCAATCTCTCCCTGTTAAACCAAACTGAATCAGAGCAAATACACAAAGAATAATAAAATAAATGCAATTCCACCAAGCAAGGAGAGAAACTTAACCTGTCCTCATCCCTGTGTATGACTACGATCAACAGCAGTGAGGTTTTTTTTTTTTTTTTTTTCTGCTTTATTTTGTGTCATTGCTTAACACTACTAAGGAGTGCTTCCAGAACTCCTAAGCAGTGTTTAGAACAGAGCACAGAGGTCTGGCAAACCTGGTTAGGGGGAGAAGAAACCATACTTCCAGAACATGAAGCAACAGACAGCAAGGTCTGTGGGGGAGCCAGGAGCTACTTTTCCTCAGAGGATTTCACTGAGGAAAATATGTAATATTTTTTTCCCACATTTTTTTCCCTCAATGAGTAGCCTTGCTCGGAAGATGTGGCAGACACCCATTAGCAATCACAGCAGTCTTTTTCCTGAAAAAATTCCTCAGGAGCAGCATGGCTACCATCTCAGGGACCTGCTGGTTGTCCTGTGTAGAATATGGCTGTGAGTTACCTCAGGCTGTGGGCTTTCTGACAGGAAGGGCTGGGACATCTCATCATGTCTGAGTGCGAGAAACTTCAGGTCATTATTTGAGACAGAAATGTAGACATGTTGACTCAGGGGACTTAAATATGCAGATGCCATATAACCAAACTTTAAAATCATCATTATAGTTCCATTTTAAGGTGACAAAAAATAAGTTATTATTATGGAGAAGCATATTACTTCTTTGTGAGAAGACATTAGCAACTCTTTCAAGTCATGGCCTTAGCTCCTAGTTTCTCCTTATTATTTCCCTGTTCAGCACTACCAGCAAACTCCTTAGGGGACTATGAGAGGTTTCTCTCACTCCTTCTTTAGCTGTGAGGAATGCCCACATATTGTGGCCTTCTGGAGCTACACTGTCTCAAGGATGCCTTGGTACCTCTCTGCCTTTCTTCTGTGGAAATGTGAAAAGGGGGCAACACTGTGGTCTTCCTTGACTGCATAGCCAAACTGAAGGAAGACAGCAAACCCTGTTTCCTGGAGACAGACACTTTTACAAGATGTGTTTACCATAGAAGCAGGAATAACATTGTTAAAAACTTCTTGGTCTATAAGTAGGAGTTAAACAGATCTGTCAAAAGTTGCAGACAAGAGAGATTTTTTTCAATCCATTCCTGGGCATGTTCATCTACATGGTGGAAGAGCTTGTAGCAGAAGAGAGAGAAAATTCTAACATTCACTTTTAGATTTAGTCTATCCCTCAGATTTTTGTTCTCTAAATCCAATGGACATCTTACCAAGAAATCTTTTAATTCAAAATGTCACTCAAAACCAAACAAATAATCAAGGGGCTGGATCTATTATTATATGTACACTAGTTCTTTGTAGCACAAAAGGAAAATTAAAACTAGATTGAGTTTTCCATTCTCTAGTATGAGAGAGAAATTAAAAATTATAGAGGTAACATAACACAAAGCCATCTTGCAATAGGGAAGTTTAAATTTATATTCAATTGCTGGTAAAACTAAGCCCTAGAGTTGTTTTCTTTTGTCATTCTAACATCTTGTTCTTACTCTCCTAGAATCTTAGGAAAATGAAAATCCAAAATGCAAAGGGTTTTACAGAACTTTTTTTTTTTTTTTTTTTTATAGCAAATAGTCCCATAAAACACGAGGTCTTAGGGCCTCAATGTGTGTGTGCACTGGGTTTGGAGGGCTATGCAATAATATATAAGAAGGTAGTGATCTATTAGCAATACATTTTCAAAACAAAACAAAACAAAAACATGTACAGAATGTTATCAAAGCCTTAGAAGTGACAGAGCATACATATTTTATGAACTGGTGGGAGCACCATCCTTCTTTCATTCGTTAACATATTGATGAGTGCCCCTATTTTCATAAACAAAGACAGGCTAACACTAAACAGATGAAAGGCTTGCTGTGGAAGCATCCTGTCACAGGCAGCTGATCACGGTGGCATGGCACCACGACACAAGCTTCTGTTTTGGTCATCCTTGCTTCGTCTTTTCTTGAGTTTTGGGCTATCTCTCAAGTCTCCCTGCTTACAGTGTTTGTAAAAATTTGGCACAATCCCCTCTCCTTTTCCTTTCCTGATTCTTTTGTTGTTGTGTGGGTGCACTGCACATGTATGTCTGAGGTGAAAAAACCAGCCAGACAACCAATTAAACAGCCAACCAATCCTTGAGGTCTTTTGCAGGGCCATGAGTGTGGCATGGAAGAAGGTCACTGGAGAAGCATAAAAACAACAACAAAATATCCAGATGCTGTCAAGCTGACTTTGACTCATGGCAACCTTCTGTGTCAGAGAAGAACTGTGTTTCACAGCATTTTCAATGGCTGATGTTTTGGAAGTGGCCTTTCTTCCAAGGTGCCCCTGGATGAATTTGAACCTCCAACCTTTTGTTAGCAGCGAAGTGCGTTAAGTGTTTGTGCCACTCAGGAACTATCTATCAAAATAGCATGAAGGGCAAATTAACGGGGGCTTCTGTTAGAGTGTGTTTGTGTGTGCATAAGTGACTGTGCACATGACACACACACTTAAGCTCTATCAATTTATGAAAATGGCCCTTTTATAAGGCTTTGACTGTTGGCTGCAAAAGGTTTTTCCCCATGTTTCTTATCCCAAACAACAGGTTTCTCTCTAGCTGTTTGAGATTCAGCCACTTTCAAAATACGCAAAGGCCCACTAGTCCAAGATTGACCCTGAAAACATAATTGGTATTTTCATGTACTGGACATGTTGTAGCTTCCAGGAGCTTGTGGGTCTATTCATCACCACAGACGGCTCAACAGCTTGTGATAGGGAACCATTTTCTCTCTTTTTTGTCCTCAGAAACACTGTATTGAGTCTGGACCCATACACACTATCCCAGGATTAAGCGTGCTTCCCCCACCAGCTGGAAAGAACGCCTCTCAGAATGTGGAGCGTGAACATAAAAAGGCTTCCCATGACAGTGATCACTGAATCATAGGGAATAAAGCAAGAAGGCAAATTTGCAATTCATCACATTATCCTCGTCATCTCAAATGTTGATTCTTTTAAAAGGCAAGCTGCATATCCACTCTCCTTTTGAAGAAACCGCAACCCCGTCCCACCCCCCGTAACACTGGGTTTTCTTATTGTTTTCATAGGGTATCTGAGTGAGGATAAAATGATAAAAAATTACAATAGATTAATTGCATCCCTTGAATCACATTATATTTTTTGGTGCATTAAAAAAAGGAGAAAAGTAAAAGCAATCAGCATAATAAATTCATCCTAGAGAACTGTGTTAGTGACTGAAGGGTTAACACAGATTTTAGAAGTAGTTAAAAATAGTATTAGAGGATTATACATACAACAGTTTGAAATTCATATGCATTGTTTTCTTTTTAAAAAATGGCAAAATGTTTGGCAAATGTAAGCAAATGACTTGGACTAGGTTGGGTCTCAGCAGCTCTGAGCGGAGTCAGTCATAGCCAGGTGAGGCCCACTGCTTCCTGAGGTCACTCTGTGGGGCTGGGGGGGAGTGGTGCTCACCACTGGGGGTGCTGCGGGGGAAGGTTAGGTGCTGGCCCCCATGCTTGGCTCCCCCTCAGACCCTCAGTCTTGAACATGGAAATGGAGCTGGTGAGAGATGCCAATTACAGACTCCAGCACGGATCACCCATTAGCATCGCTGAGAGAACTCTGGGGCCTTGAACCACATGCAGACTGGGTGAATTGTCTACACAGTGACCCATATTGCAAAAAGTAGAGCAGGGTGTGGGACTCCCACTCCTCGGTGGGTGCGTCTCCCCACCCCCACATGGAGGGAGAAGGGGCATGGGTGTGTCACTAGTGCTTGTCCTGGCCATGTTGTCAACTTGTGGTGGTGTTTTTTTTTTTTTTTCTTAGTAGACTTTTCTTTAATGTTGTTTATTTTGTTTTCTATGTGTATGTATATCCAGAAATGTCCATTCTCCAAGCTGGCCACCACTGTTCCCTGAATTTGGCAGTGCCTGTTGCTTGCAGCTGCTGGCATCCTGAAAACCGAGAGGTGCCTTCCAAGACCAGACTCTGGGCCCCAGCAGTGTGCGTATCCTCCATGAGCCCGGCTGCACAGCAAACACATAATCCCAGCCTCTCCTTATTCTGACTCCTGTCTGGCTCTAATTTTGAGAAAAAGGACAATGGTCCTGTGTTTGTGTGTGTATGTACGTGTGTGTGTGTGTATGCATGTGTAAGAGCATGTACATGTTTGTGTGAGTATGTATGTGTATGCATGTATTTCTGTGTATGTGTGTGTGCATGCCTATGTGTATGTATGTCTGTGTGAATGTGTAGATTTTTTTTTTAACTTTTTTCTTTTTTTTAAGAAAAATGATCCTCAGATTGCTAATACAGAGTCCAGCCCTCCTTAGTCACTATAAAACAGACTCCATGTTCTCACACCACTCGTGGTCTTCAAGGTTATAGATAAATTTTGTCCTATGGGTCTGGTTTGTGGGCACAGGGTCCCTCCCCAGATTGTCTAGGGTCAGAGTAGAGGCAAAGAACTCACTGGTGCTCAGCCCGCCCTCGTGGTTTTTGATGTATCGTTTATAGTTTTTCCTCAGGCACTGCCACGTGGTGGTGTAGAGGAGGAAAGCAAAGGACTTGAGCGCAATGGCGATGCTGACGTACAGGTATCGGTAGACCACGTTGTCATAGAGGACGCAGGCGCCCTGCTCCCCACAGAACGTGCTCCAAAACAGGCAGGTGGAGTCAATGCCAGCTCCGAAGATGAGGGGTGGTGGGATGAAGCCTACAGAGGGAAAAGGACATGTAATGTTCTGGCTCAGATGGTGAGTTTTATGAAAAGACGAACTCTCCTTTTCCCCTATGTACACATCTCTTGTTAAAGGGCTGCTAGGCAAGGGTGTCAAGTTCAGCATACTGTATACCATACTGTACCATACCATACTACCCCATGCCAGTTGCTGTGGAGTTGACTCTGACTTATGGCGACTCCACATGCATCAGAGAGAACTGTGCTCAGAGGGTTTTCAATGGCTGATTTTTTTAGAAGATCCAGGCCTTTCTTCTGATGTGCCTCTGGGTAGATTCAAACCATCAACTTTTTTATTAGAAGCTGTGTTAACCATTTGTACTGCCTAGGAACTCTGGTTGTATAGCACAGTGTTTAAAAGAGCCACTCAGCACCAAATTATGTGGGTTCAAATGCTAGCTCTGCCACTTACTGTACAACTGTAAGGTAAATTATTTAAGCCTTTTGTATCTTAGTTTCCTCAGCTGCAAAATGGGAGAATAATAATATTGTTGTTGTTGTTATGTGCCGTCGAGTCGGCCCCGACTCATAGCGACCCCTCCTTGGGTTTCCGAGGCAGTATCACTACAGAAGTAGGATTGCCCAACCTTCCTTCCGAGGAGTGGCTGGTGGGTTTGAACCACCAGCCTTCTGGTTAGCAGTCAAGTGCTTTAGCCACTATGCTACCAGAGCTCCTAACAATAATAATATAGCTCTTATAAAATTGTTGTGAGGACAACTAAATTAACACATGAAAAACATTTAGAACAGTGCCTGGTACAGAGTAAACATAAAATACTGTAAATAATGGCTAGAATTATTATTATTGCCATTTTCTGACAGTTTGAGAAGGCACAGAATCTTCTGTGAAGGAGGGCATCTCAGTGTCACTCAAAGAAATACAACTTAATAGACGGAACTGGTAAAGAGACATTATACCTTGTGTCTCATTCTCTTGCATGGGGGCTTGGCTTGTAGAACTGTGTGCATTCTTGAGTGGAAGGAACCAGAAGATATAAGAAGTTAAATATGAGTATTCAAGCAATTTATTTGGTTTGGGGATGAAAAAGATCTGTATATATGCTAATGATTTCCCCACCCTTAGATATTACCACTGGATCAGAATATCTGAGCTGGGAACCAGATTTAAACCTTCAGAATCGAGCATTTTGGCCATGACTACCAGGCACAAAATGGCAGGTCAGATGAAAATCACCCTTAATTCAGTCCTGTGTTACTGTCTGTGATTATTCCCTGTGGTTGTTCCTTAGCTGGGTTGTTTTCAATCCTGGTGCACAGTTAGTATCATCTGGGGGAGGGACCCATCTTCACAACCAACTAACAGAACACTTAGCATGGGGCCCAGTCACCAGCATTTTAAAAATGAAACACTCCCAAGTGATTCTGGGCTGCTGGAAAACAATTATTTCATCTGTGTTATGAAAAAGCAAGGGATGAGTTACTACACAAATTAATTTTTACAGGGAAGAAAAAAAAAGTGTCCCTCTGAGGCCAGACCATGATGCCAATCATCTTCAGTGAGAGACCTCTGAAGCAAGAAGAAATCTTTGGAACCAGAAGTGACAACTCCAATATCTCATTCCTGATATATCTTCATCTAGAGTGTTCCTTCCACAGCCAGCTGTAGAGTGTCGCAGCTTCATTTTTACTAAGGAAGGACCCTCTGAGAATCTGATGAGCTATAGACCACAAGCCAATTCAAGATCACAAGACTGCCTGCATTATACATCCTTATACATCCTGTATAAGCTTGCAGAGCCTCCTTTCTGAGAAGCCCTGAGGGTGGCCTGGGAGGGGAAAGGGAGGCTTAATGAAGGAAGCTGCTCTTCTCTAGCTTAATGACAGGCCTGAGATGGGGTGAGAGGGTGACTGCATTCTATCAGTGCTAATGAGGCTGGCAGAGCACCCAGCTCCCCCAGTCAGAGCCAGGTGCCTCCACAGGTTTCCTAAGGTCTTCTAGCTCTGGGAAGGAATTCTATTTGAAACCTCATTAAACTTCCTAAGCAGCTTGATACACCCCCAAGTGTAAAATTCTGCCCATACTGCTCCTCTTCCTGATGCCAGGCCAGGTTGTTCCTGTTGAATAGAACTCATAGACTCAGCATCCAATGTGGTCCAAAGGCTGTCTGGGTGTTTGACTTCCTGCCCCTGGACGTTCTCCTTACCCCTGGACCAATGTCATTGTTCACTTAACTGAAATAGAGCCACGTGGAGGAGATGCCAGGAAGGAGATCACAGACAATAAGCCACATTCCACATCATAAATAAATTGATTTCTGAAACCAATTTAAATTATAGGTAGATTTGAGGATAAAAGAAGCTAATTTGGCATGCTCATATGGCATGGTGGGATACCTCAAATCCTTTTTATTTTACATCTTGTGATTAGCTTCCAAATGCCCTGCCCTGCCCTTTCTTCTGTCTCTTATGACCTGCCTTATGCACATTTCACAATAGGAAGCTAAGAATATAGATGACAAGGTTTGCCATGGAAGAAACTGACAGTACAGGTGTTCCCTGCTTCACTGTGCATGGGTTGCCAGAGTTGCATAGAAATTCAAGTCTGATAAATCAGATTCTATTTTAAGTAGTACATCAAAGGAAATTCACAATATAAGAGGAACAGTAATGCTGTTTTTAAACTAGCTTTAAATTAAATGCTTTTCAGTAATGCTGGTTTAAACCCAAATATCCCCCTAAGATGCCACCAGGTATGGCATTGCTGGTTCAATGGTGGAATTCTCATCTTCCCCCTGGGAGACCAGAATTTGGTTCCTGGCCAGTGCACCTCATGCACAGCCACCACCAGTCTGTCATGGAGACCACTGTGTTGCTATGGTGCTGAAGAGGTTTCAGTGGGGCTTCCAGACTAAGAAGGACTAGGAAGAAAGGCCTGGTGATCTACTTCTAAAAATCAGCCAGAGAAAACTCTACACATGACAGTGGTCTGATCCGCAACAAATCAAGAAGTGTTTCATTCCATTGTGCACCTGTCACGATGAGTGGGGGTCGACTTGATGGCAATAAAAAGAACAACACTTCTTCATATACTTGTTTCTGGGTGAGGATTTTTATAATACTCAGTTGTCTTTAAAGCTGGGCATACCTTTATGCACTAACATGTAACTTTATCTGTTTATTGCCAAGCTCTACTACCAGATGACAATATCCTAGAAAAAATTAGAGAAAGCCTCCACAGTTTCAATTTAGAAAGCTAAGTGCCTAGGAAAGCTTTTCACAACTACCCTCAGTATGTTGGAGAGCATTTGCATAGAGATGAAAGAGCCTTTAACTTCAGGAGTCTAAAGTAAATCACTTGACTTCTCTATGCCTCAGTTTCTTCATCTTTAAAATGGAAATAATACCACCTGTCCTTCTCAAGGCTCAGGGGAGAACTAATACAAACAAGAGTTATGCACGTACATGGTTCAACCATGTGGCTAGATCATTTTTCTACCTTATTCCTATTAGAATGGAGATGTGGGGTGATGTTTTAGAATGAACCCTGAGTATCCTCAGTATAACCTTTGTAAGATTCCTTTAATATTTCTGAATAGAAAATACATGGGCTTTATTTCCCACCATAGTTATGTTTTTTTATTGACTTACAATTCTTTCAAAACGGAGAGCTTGAATTATCAGGCTTAAATTCCAGGTGTGCAAAGAATACCAGTGATGAAGAACTGACCAGATCTTTTTAATCAGAGGCTTTTGCCATTCTGGAGCTCACCTGGTTAGACACAGAATGGAGTCCCACCCCTTTATGACTAATTTTCCCACAGAGCCACTCATCCTTATATTTTTAGCACTGAGTTGGACAAAATAAAAGCATCCTCTCTAAGTTCCTGGAACCCCAGAAACCAATGGAAGACTTCTACAGTATGAAGACCAAAAACCAAAAACAAACTCAATGCCATTGAGTCAATTCTGACTCACAGAGACCACCTCTGGGTTTCTGAGGTGGTAAATCTTTATGGAAGTAGATTGCTCAGTCTTCCTTCTGCAGAGTGGCTGGTAGGTTTGAACCACCAACCTTCTGGTTAGCAGTCAAATGTCTTAGGCACTATGCCACCAGAGCTAGCTTGAAGACTAGTTCCTATGATGACTAGAATAGTAATTATTGATTATTAACCCCTGGTGCTGTATGAACATTATGAATCCCCTCCACAACCACATGGTATTAATTGTTAGCTGCAATCGAGTAGGGCCCAACTCATGGCAACCACCCCACGCACAATAGAATGAAGTGCTGCTCATTCCTGCACCATCTCCACCATCAGTTGCAGATCAGACCACTGTGATCCATAGTTTATTTACTGGCTGATTAGGAAGTAGATTGCCAGGCCTTTCTTCCTAAGGTATCTTACTCTGGAAGCTCTGCTGAAGCCTGTAACCATCATAGCAACACACAAGCCTCCATAACAGATGGAGAGTGGCTGTGCATGAGGTACCTTGGTCGATACTTGAACACAGGTCTCCCGCATGAAGTGAGAATCTACCATGGAACTACCAATGTTCCCTACCCTCCTTATTTTACATATACAGACAGTGAGGGTGAGAACTGTTAATTACTTGCTCCAAGTTTACTATCTCAAAATCACAAACCCAATAATCTCTTTCAATCTCATTCAAAGTTTGTTGATTTAAGGAGAAGATCTGAGAGCTCTTATCAGGGATTTTTAGTACTACAGAAAAACACTATTTACCCTACAGCTAAACTCCTGGGAATAACTGGCTTGTGAAGGCTTGGTTTTATGCAGAGGGTGAAACACATGTAGGCTCGGATCTTTGCAAAGTGTCGGAGTCCTCCCTTCTCCTTGGCAGTTAATGTGCTGAGAAAGCTGGGAGACTGTTATTTTGTAAACAAACTTTCTCAGGATTTGGCAGAACACCTCAAGCAGTACTGACTGATACTTGTCAGCAGGAGAGAAATGGAGGGGCTGCTTTTTCCAGAGACCAAATGTGCAGCCCGAGGT